ATATATAATATATAATATATAATATATAATATATAATATATAATTCGCATCAAATATATTACTTCAGGCCCCTGATGCAGTTTGGTTTTCTTGCTTTCTGTGGCTCATAACAAAGCCCCAAAGATCAATGTGCGGAGTGTTGCATGCATGTACAAGTTTATATACCCCGAGAGAAAGAAGGGGAGACATCGAATTTTATTGTTATTATTATTACCAGCGAAGCAGCAAGAAGCGCAGCAGCACCAGCAGCAGCAGAAGCAGCAGCAGCAGCAGCAGCAGCAAAATAACGACCTCTTCTCCCCCGTCTTGAGTGTATGTGTAATATACACTCGCACCCACCCCACAGTTGGGGGGCTGCCTCTATCTAATAAGAAAGGCAGTTGCTTTGCAGACAGGTTTACGTTAAAAGTGGGAAGAAGAAGTATATTTGTAAAAAGCAGTTCATTAGCTGCTGCTGCGCTTACCATCAGACGGAAGAAGAAAATGTCTTTCTTCTGCTCTCATTTATTATTACCTTCAACTTAAACACCAAACATTCTCTTAACAGCATCTACAGGGGCAACTACAGATATGTATATATATATATATATATGTGTATATGCGTATACATATATATATATATATATATATATATATATGTATATATACGTATGTATATATATATGTGTATATGTATACATATATGTATATATATATATTTATATGTGTATGCACGTTTATCTATTTTTATTTGTTTTTCATACTATGGTTGTATATATTCATAGGAGCGAAAAGACTATCTTTATGAAGTAGAAGTAAGTACATACATAGATATATTTGTATTTATATAGAATATTATACGTAGATGTGCGTATTTACGTAGGTATAGCAATTAATATACAAGTTAGCTCTTAGTATATATATACATATATATATTAGAGGGGAAGGAGACCTTAATTATATTTAAATTTATATTTATAGTTTGTTTTAAGCTAAAGTATAATGAAGTGGTGTAGTGGGAGATGAACGGTAAAGCCCAGATGGAGTCTTTAACAATAACAATTGTTATAGACTGCATCTGGGCTTTACCGTTCATATATAACGATATTTTCGTTTGTATTTTATTTAAACAAGTTTGTAACAACAAACGAAATCAAGAAAAGAATCGTTATGATGGACCTGGGATAAAGGAGCTGAGACAAGAGAAGACAGTTAATGCATGAATTAAACTCAGTGTCTCCTCTAATAAAAAACTAAACTTCTTTATAATTGTTATATTTATTTCTTACGAGTATAATACAATAAGTTTATTTTAATTATTTATTTTCTTTTAAATTTCTTTCTTGCCCGTGTCTAGGCATTCAAGTATTTTGTATAGAGCAAAAGAGTACCCGCATAGTACACGCAGCTGCCTGAAGTATACGAGAGGAAATACAATAAAAAAGAAGTAAATTTAAATATATTCAAAAGAATTTTAAAAGAATTATTTTAAAGAAATGTACTTCTTTCTGCAAACACAGTTTTCTGCGGTACATTTATTTTAAATGAGGGAGGCCAGCGGATGTCTAAGCAGAGCCCTGGAATTCTTCTTTAAAAATATATTAAATAAATGTTATAAATTAATTTAAAAAATTAAAAAAAGCAAAACAAACAATTCTTTTTTCTCTTTTGTTTTTACCTTCTGATACTAAGCGCCGAGCACTGTTGTGTGGGTGACCTTGCGGTGTATGTACACTGCAGAGGGAGCCGTATCTGTTTGCACCAACAACATTATTTTTTTTCTAAATTATTGAATTAATATTGTTAATATTTATTTATTTATTTATTTATTTACGTATTTATTTATTTATTTACAGCAGAAACGTCTTTAAGGACGTGGGGCTCTCTCTATAAGGCGCTGCTCGAGCGCGAGGCCTGCGAGAGAGAGTCTTGGGGCTTAGTTAGTTAGTTTGTTTATCAAAAATGAGTTTAAAGAAAGAATATTATGCTGTTATATTGATATAATATAAGAGGAGAGCTCCTTATGTCTTCATCTTAGTTTATAAGACAGATATTTTCTTGCTTCGGATGCCTACACCTACACTATCTTATACTTCTTTGTTTCTAAGGTGTACCCGGTATGGAGAGCTAAAGTAAATATTTTTCTTTGTTTAATAACCTATGAAAAGAAGTCTTTAAAACAATGATAGGGGAGGACCCTGACACTGCTGCTGCAGGCTCAGCAGCACGAGCAGGAAGAGCAAAAGCAGCACGTACAACTGCAGCAGCAGCAGCAGCAGCAGCAGCAGGAAGTCGTTGCTGCGCTCCCGAGTTGCTGCAGCGTGACGCTGAAGTGTCTGCAGCACAATTTGCAATTCAAAAGCATACTCGGCTGCTGGAATTAGAAAAAAGAAGGCTAAGAGATCTCTCTGATGCATCTTTAAGAGCACAAGCTGAATATGAAGACAAGCGCTCTCGTTACGCCTTTAATAAACCAAATATAAGAAAAGAGTTTCATCAAGCAGAGCAGCAAATACATTTACTCGAAGACAGAGTTGCTTTTGCTGCATCAAAACATAATACAGAGATATCTTTTGCTGCTGAATTAAGGCTGGCTATAGACAAACAAAGAAAAGAAAGACTTTCATTAGAACAAGCACATCTGCTGCTTACAAAAGAAGCAGCAGCGCAGCAAAGTGAACTGCATGCAATCAAGCAGCAAATTGCTGAGCTCCAGCAGCAAGAGCAGCAAGCTCTCCAGACAAAACGCAAACTCTATCAAGAAAGAGATAAAGAAAGAGCAGAGTTTAAACAAACGCTCGAAAAAAAGCAGCAAGTCCTAAAGCAACATGTACGAAAAAACAAGTATAAGCACAAACTGCAGCAGCAGCAACAGCAGAACTAGCAGCAGCAGCACTAGCAGCAGCAGCAGCAGCAACAGCAGCAATAGCAGCAGCAGCAGCAGCAAACGTTGCATCAGGAGCAGGTGCAGCATGAGCGAGAAGGATATATGTTTGTGTTGTGCATATATATTGTTATATTGTTATATTCTTGCTGCTGCTGCTGCTGCTGCTGTTTTGCTGCTGCTACTGCTGCTGCTGCTGTTTGCTGCTGCTGGTTTGCTGCTGCAGGAGCAGCGACTAAAAGAAATGCTGCAGCAAGCCAGCAAAGACAATCAGAAGCTGCAAGCACAAATTCGCAGCTCAGCTTGTGCTGCTGCTGATGGCGAGCAGCAAGAAGCAGCAAAAGAAAAACTAATAAAAGATATATTTAAAGCAACGCTGCTTAATGCTGCTCATAGACGCTCTATTCGTCTGTATAAAAAACAAATTCAGATATTTGATAAGGCGATGGAGAGCATTAAAAAATCTACAGGCATCTCAGGTGTATATAAGTAATATAAATAATATAAATAATAATAATATAATATAAACAATATATTATAAATAATATTATATAATATAACATAATAAATATATATATATATATTTGTGTATATGTATATATATGTGTGTATAACATATAATGTATATATGTATGTATATTATATATATAATATATAACATTATATATATAAATGTATAGATATAAATATATATACCTATATATATATATATAT